GTCCCAATTTTACCTTCCCTCAAGGCAATTAAAATTCCCCACATAATAGTTCAACACATGTAATTGGGCAAACATGTGTGATTTCTTCTTCTTCAGCTCCATCGACCACCATGATGACCATCATATGCCTCCTCATCGGGCAATCTCTCTTTAATAATTCATCACTGCCATTTTTTATCTCAATCTTAACGATCAGACCGTACCATTGCATCCGGAATGATCAAATTAGCTGGAAACAAGTCTGAAATCGTCCAAATCCCACTTCAGACGGCTAAGATTTGATCAAAACAATTCTGGTCTGATAAACGGCCCAGATTCAATCTCAGAACCGGTGGCACGTAGACTCTGCCACACAGAATCCTGTCCCTCGGCTCGGCTCCAACTCAGCTCGGAACGGCTTTGAATCTGCAAAATCTAACCTTACAGATGTGTCCGGAATGACCAAAAAATGTTAGAAACGACACTAAGATCACCCGAATCGGATTTCGGATGACTCAGAATTAAACAATCAAACTTTGGGATCACTGGACGCTGCAGATGACGCCACTTGGCAGGAGGAATAGTCCCTGCACCATACTGGATCAAAACCTAGGGAGCTGACATGGTTGTGATGACGTGTCAGCCACACTGGACATATAGGGTCAACCAAATCTGACGTGGCAGTTTGACTGGTCAGAGGGCTGATGTGTCAGGTGACGTGTCTGATGACTATGCAGAACTGCTGACGTGCCTAATGACATGGCAGTTTGATTGGCCAGAGTGCTGATGTGTCAGGTGACGTGTCAGGTGACTGTGCAGAACTGCTGACGTGGCTAATGACGTGGACAGTCACCCCGCCGGCGCGTGCGATGGTTTCCGACGTCCGATTTCGACGCGGTTTTCACCAGTGGCTTCGTCTCTTCCTCCTCTACACAGTGGTATGGTCAAAACACAATTTTGACAACTTTTATTTTTGAGCAAAATCAAACACCACTTTAAACCGAACGCTCTGATACCAATTGTTGGGAATTTCGACCGGTGATGTTCTGATACTTGCTCATAGGAGAGCCAAGCACACTGACACAATATTTAACGTGGTTCGGCAAAATCGCCTACATCCACGGGAGAAGTTAATATATTTAGAGATAGAGAAAGAATACAAAACAAATACATGGAGGAGGAGGATTACACCCTCTCATACTCAACTCTCAACTCTCTTTGCTGCAATGGCAGCTAGGCTGCTGCCATTGCAGCTTTCTCTTCCTCTCTACTCTCTTCACATTTTCATAATTCTCTTCACTCATTTTGCTCTCTTGCATATGCCTCTATTTATAGGCATTCATGGAGGCTTTTCTTCAACAAAGGTGGCTGCTAACTCCAACTCTTCTTCAACAATGGTGGTCGTCAACCTTTGATATCTTAGATGAGTGCACATAGTTGGTGCAATAGCAAATGATTGTTGCACATTAATGACAACCAACCTAACAGATGGTATCTTCTACGATCACTGTAGCTAAAGATGCTCAGCTGGCTGGTTCGGTGTTTAAATTTTAGAATTTGGATCCCATATATGAAAAAATTCTCCAACTTTTATGGCAGCTTAGCTGGTTGCAGTTTGGAATCAAAGTTTTTAAACTCAATCTATTTAATTTTTTTAAAATACATTAAAATAAAATATCTTTTTTAAGACAACATTTTATTTTTTTCTTAAACAGGATTGGACAAGATTTCAGGTCTAGAATTGACCCGTGCAAGCTAGTATAGTTTTATAACAAAGGTTCAAATAATAATAGAAATGAAGCAGAAACCGGCTTCCGAGAAAGTTGTGGAGGGGATCCAAACCCCCGCCGAGCTTGAAGCTGGAGGAAGCCGTACCCCTCCTCCTAGGATTCGCGGTGACTTAAATCCCTCAGAGGTGATTGTGAGTGCTGCTGCCCGTTTTAAAAAGAGGAGGCGCTTTCAGTCCTTGGCAGTTGAAGTTCCTGTCTCTCCATCTTCTGACCAGATGTCTAAACAGAGCTTCGATTGTCATCTGCTTCGGTTGCCCGAATGGTTTATAATGTACAGTTCAAATGGCTTTTAATTTACTGTCCCTTTTCTATTTTTCCTCTTTGGGTTTCCTTTCTATCTTGTCTTTGCAGACTTTTATGATGTCCGCCCACTCTACGGAGCGTTGGGCGGCGGAGGAGAGGCAATTGAAGGACGTTATTTCGAGGTTCAAGTTGATCGAACCGCTCATCACAGGCTCCGAGATGAGAAAAACGTCTTGGAGACTGAGTTGCGGGATGTGAAGGCGTCCTACGCTTCCTTAATGGATGAGATGCAGGAAGCTCACATTCGTCTGGTTTCCTCCGAGCAGCGGTTGCAGGAGGTTCTCATTGAGGTTTCTGCTTCGAGAGAGACTATTGCAGAGCTGAGCGCATCAAAGGATGCTCTGCGTCTGGAGCTCCAAGCTGTTAAAGAGGAGCACAAGAACTCTCAGGCAAAGCTGGAGGGATTGAAGACTTCTTCTGGCGACTTAAAGGATTTCTTCAGGGGGTCAGCTGCTTTGGATGAGGTGGTTGGGGACAAGATTTTCCTTGCCATGTCCAACCTGTACTTCTTCAACGGCTCCAGAGGAATGCAGGTGGACTTCAGCGCAGCCTTTCGCCCCGTCACCGTGCCTGATTTTGATGATGTATTTCCTGCCAGGGCTTCTGCTGCCAACCGGGGAGAGTATTTGGATGCGGAGCCTGGGTTGGATGTCCCTTGAGGACTCTAGATCTCGTGTTATGACTCTAGTTCTCGTGTTGTCACTTGTAAGAAATGGACCAAGGTACCAGTTTAAACCTTAATGCTATTACCAGTTCATAAAAAAAAAAACCTTAAAAAACAGCCTTGAAGAATCTTCTCTGTGTTTCTTGATGCAGATTTGCTTGGCCTTCCCTATCAATATCTCTGGCTCTTCCTCTATTTCTTGTAATTCTTTAAAAGAAAACTCTCTCCTAACTACTTCTGCGACATTTCAACTGTAATGATAATATTTTTAAAGCTTAAAAATCTCTTCTTTCTTCTCAGAAGCTAATAAAGCCTTCTTCTTTGTGGGTATATCCTCTCAAAAACCCACCTTTCCTTCTCTCTGATTCCTTAAACTTGGTTCTCTGTGTGATTTCTTTGGATTAGAAGCAAGAAAATGGAGATTTGGAAATGGGTTTTTGTTGGGGTTCTTTGGTATGCTGGTTTTGTATTGAGTACTGGTGCTGTGGAGCTGGGCAGTAGTCAACAGACCGAGAGGATTTCAGGTTGGTTTTTCTTTAAATTAACCATTTTTTGAAGTTTATTAATTTTTGTTGGGTGTATCATTTTTTTATTTTTTTTGGGGCCTAATATAGTTATGCAGTTGATTAGTGGATAGATTTGTGGTCTTTAAACTGATAATTTGAAGGTAGGGTTTTTGTTTAAGTTAGTTTTGGGATTTGTTTTAGTTGTATGGCATATTTTGGGTTTGTGGATTTTTGGGATGTGCTTAAAACTAGGTGAAATGGATGATTTGCTAACTTTAGTTTGATTGCCGAGTGTCCACCAGAGTAGTAAAAGTTGAGGATGTGTAGTTGAAATTTGGGGACCTTTAGAAATGAGTTGACATTGCGTATTCTTTTACCATTTTCTCTATAATATTTAGTTACTTCTCCATATGTTTTAAGCAGTTCCTGCGGGAGGAATATTGATCCTATTATCTTAAATTGGTATAATTGTGATGGCATCGCTTTGATTTACTGAAGCATCGAGGCTTAACATTCAGTGTTGAAACTAAGTGGAATGCACTGAAGTAATCTTTCTTTGTTGATTTATCAAATCATGAAAAGAGTTAAGAATGCCAGTTATCCCACCAGAGAAAAATGCACTTCCCCCTACCATTACCATGCACCAAATAATCCCAAACCATGCTTCTTAATTTCAAAATTTTCCTCCAATTCCAGCTGGTCATGTGGGATGCTCACACTCCATATGCTTCTTTCTCATAGTAAATAGCTATGGTACCAAGCAACCCACAATGAACCAGACTTCAACAGCAAACTCCATATATTTCTGGCAATACAAGCCACATTCTGTTCTTTAGGCTTCTTTATACCCAAGCCTCCCTCCTGTTTAGGCAAGGTAACAAAATCCCAGCCTACTTTTGCACCTGTAGCAGCAGAGTCATCATCTTTCCAAAGGAAAGCGTTGCACTATCTTTCCATTTCTTTAATAACCTCAGCTGGCAAGATAATTATATTGCACCAATAATTTGTGATGCTATACATAACTGATTAAAAAGAAATAGTGTCCATAAATAAATGAGAAATTAAAAATGTAAAATTTGAGTTATTTCCATTGTTAATTAAAAAAATAGTATCCATAAATAAAGAGGAGATTTTTTTTTATTTTTAATCAATTTAAATTTGTTTTGAAATTGGAATCAACACTATTAAGCCTTGTAGTGAGTTTTGTTTTTGCATTATAGCTTGTTTTTTAATTGATTTTTAAATTGTAGTTCATCTAAAAAGCATTAAATCAATTTTGATATACTAATATTAAAAATATAAAAAAAATTATTTTTATATATTTTTAAAGCACATTATCAAACATATAATTAATAGCATCAAACCTTGTCATATGTGTTGATTGGAAATTTTTAATTCATGTTTCTCGAATTAAAATAAGGGATTTGGGGGGGGGGGGGGGGGGAGAGGA